CAGAAATTAAAATCAGGGGTTCATCATATAGCATGGTCAACATTTGAAACAGAAATGCACATTTATTATAGAAATAAAATAACTGTCAAAAAGTGATGATATATTCTGGAATCTATTACTGACCATTTGTGGAAATTTTGAATTCATAAATCAATGAGGAACTACTAAATATTATGGATATACAGTAAGAAAGCTTAAGGGGGCAAAATGTAACAACTCAGTAATATTGACTCACATTTTTTCTTTGAATACAGGAATATCTGAATACTTGAAAAGAAACTTTAGGTAAAATGAAATAAAACACAAACAATTTAGAAAAGATAAAGATGTTTTCTGATGCAACAGAAAACACAAGTCAGGATTGAGAAGCAAAAGTGAGATGATGGCATTAATGTGATAGGAAATGCTCTCTACAGGCATCAACTGCAAATTGCATGTCAACAGTTTTGGACTTCTGCATACTAAAGTAATCAGTGTTTTAGCTAAATTGAAAATGATTTTACCACAATGACAGAGCTTAAATCAAAAGAGGAAGTGTGAGATGCCTTTGAGGTTTAGTTTCACTATCAAATTAATTAGTTAATTTCCAAATCTTCATGTGACAAAATCTGGTAAATCTCTTCAATTGCTATTCAATTGCATTATCTGCTAATTTCTTTGTTGGAAAGCTAAAGACTATTTTATCAATCTCACTATTTAATGAAATAATTAGATCCAAATAAATACTGATGCTAACTTGTTATTATGACCTAATTAATAATTATATTGCCTATTTTAGTGTAGAAAGTAATTTACTCTTAATCAAGATTAAAAAACTGATACTTTGTCACATCTGTTGCAATGTGTAACATGAACCAGAACTAAGGAGACTGGCAGACATCTACTGGTAAATATAAAGTTAATCAACTTCCTGATTTAACCTTTGTGTGTCCTACACTGTTTTCAAATTAATAATGGAAAGCTGCTATATGTCCTGTTCTAAAATTATTATTTCTCCATACATCAGCTTGATTCTGTGTCAATAAAATAGCATACGAAGTTTAGATCAATATATTGATTTTTCTGTTTCATTTCAGTTACTGAAAGCTGCTTGAATGGAATCTATAAACAACAGTTCTAAGGGAAAAAAAAATAAATGGTGCCACGTCCAAAAATTATATTGGTCAACTGTTCATCTTTTGGGACATATTTTGAAAAGTGTCATGATGGTAATTTATCTTGAAGACCTTCCTAGGGAATGTTTCCAAAATGCTTCTGAAATCTTGTGGGTAACCTGGGCCTGAACAGTGTATTTTTAATTCATTATGTAACTCAAGTATTGGCTTGAAAGGCAAAGCAAGCATTTCCTTGTGACAGTAGCTGGCTCACTGAATTCATCACATGGCTGTGTAAACAACAAAATTACAAAAAACCGCACCCAAACCCAGAAACCCTTATGGGCATTTCACACTGAAAGAGAGTGGGTTTAGACGGCAGGAGAAAATTCCCCCATGTGAGGGTGGTGAGGCCCTAGCACAGATTTCCTACAGAAGCTGTGGCTACCCCAGCCTTGACAGTGTCCAAGACCAGGCTGGATGGAGCTCGGAGCAGCCTGGGATAGTGGAAGGTGTCCCTGCCCATGGCAGGGGGATGGATCTGGGTGGCCTAAAAGGTCCTTCCAACCCAAACCATTCTATGATTCTACAACATACATGGCCCGTGCAGGTGTCACTGAGCAGGCCGGAGGGCACACCCGGGTCACGCCCTCAGAAAATGGGTTGAATCACGGTAACCCACGGGAGGTAAAGTTTGGTATCTATCAGTAGAAGGCTCTTCCCCAAGAGAGGCTGGAACAGACTCCCCAGGGAAGCGGTCACAGCACCAAACCTGACAAGACTTCAAGAAGTATCCGGACAACGCTCTCAGGCACATAGCGGGATTCTTGGGGAGTATCCTGTGCAGGGCCAGCAGCTGGACTCGACGATCCCTGCGGCAGCCCCGCCAGCTCTCCGTGCGCTCC